AACAAATTCATTCACTCAGTACAAAACACTTAGTAATACTTGTGTTTTGTAACCTCCTTGAGTAAACACTGTAGGGGTTCAGAGCAAGTCACCCGATGATGTACCTCTGTGCTATGTGGATTATTTTAAGCTAAAGGCAACTGAAACCTTGCAGGCTCAAGAGAAACATCTGTCTCTCCTTTATCACCTAGAAAAATTTATATTATTGGCTTTGCCCATAATAAAAAATTCACAAGAAATAACTTAAATATATATATATGTATATATTGATTTCAGAGAGGAAGGGAGAGTGAGTGACAAAAAGAAACATCAATAATGAAAGAGAACCATTGATCAGCTACCTCCTGCACACCCCCTACTGGGGGTCGAGCTTGCAACCCAGGCATGAGCCCTGACCAGAAATCAAACCTTGGTTCATAGATCAGTGCTCAACCATTGAGCCACACCGACTGGGCAAAAATAACTTGTCTGACCTATCTGTGTGGCCGGACAAACTACAAATTACTGAATATCTGCTCTTCTTATTATCCTGCAATGACTTTTGTCTACTCTGAAGCCCTAAGATGATCTTTAGCTCAGAATTTCACATATACCTCATTTCCCCTTTCTCTTTCTGAACCTGTTGTACATGTGGTGTCTCTGACTCTCTCGTGTATGTGGGGTTCCCATGTGTACGTATGTAATTAAATACGATTATTTTCTCTTGTTAATCTGTCTCATGTTATTTTTTTAAAATATATTTTATTGATTTTTTTTACAGAGAGGAAGGGAGAGGGATAGAGAGTTAGAAACATAGATGAGAAACATCGATCAGCTGCCTCCTGCACATCCCCCACTGGGGATGTGCCTGCAACCAAGGTACATGCCCTTGACCGGAATCGAACCCGGGACGCCTCAGTCCGCAGACTGACGCTCTATCCACTGAGCCAAACCGGTCAGGGCTGTCTCATGTTATTTTTATTAGACCAGCCGAAAGAGTCTTGAAAGGTAGAGGAAAATTTCTTCTTCCCCCACAACATAATACCAAATTATTCTCTTTCTTCTAAAAATGGCAACATGCCATTTATATTTTCATACCTTTTGTTTCCTTCTTATCCTGTTTACTAGTAAGGTTCTAAGATGGAGCTGAGGATTTGTTCCAGAAAGAATTAGACCCAGATCCTGCCTCAAAGAGTTAAAGTCTTGTAGGAAAGATGAGAGGGTTGTTAAGTAATGGGGGCAGAAGCAGATGATGGATGTTGTAATGAGAGATTCAATCCAGACGGAAAATAAAGATGAGGGTGGCTTTCAGAGCGGATGTCCTGGGAGCTGGTGCTGGATCACTGTCTCAGTCACCAGGCACATAGCTAAGAGTGCTATGTTAGCATCCTCCTTTGTGCCCAAATGCTCAGTAATTCTATCAAATCCAAAAGGATGTGGTGAGAAGTTTACACATATTTTAAATTTGGATAGACTGCAAAAAACAAGAGTGGGTTTTCATTCCCATTCCAGAATTTATACTACACCTACTTATCTTTTTTCATATGTATAAACAACAGCTTTATTGAGATAACAGTTCACTCTTTTAAGGTGTATAAGTCAATGTTTTTTTAGGATATTCACAGAATTGTGCAAATGTCACTACTTTCTAATTTTAGAGCATTTTCATCTCCCCCGAAAGAAACCCTGCACCCATTAGCAACCACTCTTCATCCCCCTTTCCCTCAGCCCCTGGCAACTACTAATCTGCTGTCTCTTTAGAGTTGCCTATTATAGACATTTTATATAAACAGAATCATATATGGCCTTTTGTGTCTGGCTTCTTTCACATAACGTATCTTCAAGGTTCATATGTCAGTGCTTCATTCCTTTTTATGGCTGAATAATCTTCTATTGTGTGGATACACCACACCTGATCCAATCATTAGTGGATGGACACTTGGGAGACTTGCACTTTTTGACTAGTCTAAACAATGTGGCTATGAATATTTACGTACAGTTTTTGTGTTGACTTACATTTCAGTTCTTCTGGGCATATACCTAGGAGTAGATTTGCTGGCTCATATGGTAATTTATGAGTTATGTTAGTAGTTACCTCATTGTAAGTATATTTACTTTTGGTGATGAACTCAAGAGACCTACAGTAAACTGATAGCAAAAATATATTCAAGTGGTTGAAATTTGAATTTTAATGTAGCTACATTATACCTGCTTTTATAAAATACTAGAGGCCTGATGCACGAAATTCATGCAAGAGTAGGCCTTCGCAGCCCTGGTTGCCTCAGCCCTTGCAGCCCCGGCTTCATCCAGAAGGTTGTCCAGAAGGTCTTTGAACGGTGGTTCTGCTGTTCGGCCATTCGGTTGATTTGCATATTATGCTTTTATTATTATAGATTGATAGGTATAATTGTATGGAGGGCACAGAGTTTTATATAAGATATGTGATTACATTTTGAACCTCTGGGACACGTCTCTAGGTAAATGTTGCTTATTGAAATATGGGTAAAGAAGTTTCTATAGAATGAGCAAGGGCAAGTGAGAAGTGGCAACTTCATATAAAAAGGGCAAAGGTCTGTGCTCTGTCGGGACTTATGCCCACTCTCTACGTGTATTTTTTTTTTTTTTGAGGCAGCCACTTTCCAATAGTGTAACATCTAGACCAGATTTACACTGTGACCTTTGTGCTCCTTCTGTGCAGATGTATGGACGCAGTTACCTGATTTGTATAACACAGGGTTCAAGCCAGCCATGACTACGACCTCTCAGTTTATGTTAACAGTCCATTGAACTTGTATACCGATAAAACATCTCTGTCATCATGAATGGCTCAGCCAATTTATTTGCTTTATTGATGTAAAAGTCAGAGATGGGCATTTTTTTATCTTTTGTTTGCTGAAATCAAGATGCTTCCAAGATTAAAAGGAGTTTTGGATCCTTTTTTTTTTTTTGGTAATTATTTATTTATTTTATGGAGCAACTTCATTTTGTTCCTGTTTGGCCACGCAGACACAATGACGTCAGTTCTGAAATGGCAAATTCTTAATTAATGGTGTGTCATTTGAAAAAAATAAACCACCTTGTGTAAGTTATTCTCTTAGAGAACTATCGTAACCTACTTGGAACAAGTTATGCATTTTTTATGTGGGTTGCTTTTCATTTAAAACAAATGTGTACAACGAAAAACAAAACCTTGTTCAATCGATATGCAGTACTAATTCCTGTCATCGTCAGCTCGGCAAGAACTGCAGTAAGCTTTCTGTCAATATGCCTCAGTGACAGCTGCAGCTTGGGGTTTTAAAGGAGGAGAAATAGAAGGCCTTCACTGTGTTGAAGAACAGATCATCCCCAGCCAGAATCCATTGGAGGTTTTGTGATCAGAGCACAAGCCTTTTCATCTCTCAGTCTCTTCCATGTGTGCAGTTCAGAAGGTGGGAACAAAGTGACTTATCTTTCTCAAATGATCTAGAACTCATGAGAGTAATGTCAAAGAAGGTTGCTCAGTGGGAGAGTCTGTGCTGCCATTCATCCCGCAAATGGGGATGGAGACCCACTGTGTGCTGAGCAGGAGCCTGTATACCTGCATCTCCACAGCTGCCCCTGGAGTGGCTGTTGGCCCTGGGACATACCCACCCACTACCCTCACCTAGTACCCACCTGGTCCTGCAGGTGTTTGAATTTCTGACCCTGAGAGAAGTTGGAAACCAACATTAAATATAATCCCTGTTATCAAGAAGTTTTAATCTAATCAAGATCATGAAAACGAACACTTATGAAAGTTTTTTATTCTCCCCTAATCATTTATTTATTCACAGCTTGACTTCTTGGAATCTTATTTCAGTGCTCCAGGTCCTGACCAGCAGGGAGAGCACACCTGATCCTCTAGGTTAGAGGGACCGGACAGGGAATCAGACCCCTGGGGTTTGCTCTCCACATGCTGCTTTTGGCAAGTCACTTGTCTTGTTGGGACTTTATTGTTCCTTCCCTCCTTCAGGGGTCTTCACCTCATTGGAACAATCAGCCAGCAAATTTCTATCACCTAAGAGCTAAAGTCAGATAATACTTCCTTTAAAAATATCAAGATATAAGAAGTGTTTACAGAAAGATTGGTAAATTTGCATGACAGTGTAAAACTTCTATGTGATAAGACTCTGATAATTAAAAAAGAGAAGTGTCTGACTGCGAGGAGGTATGTGCAATACTCGAATGAAATTATCAGTGCCCGTCACCTGTAGCAAACGTCTATGAATCTGTGGGGAAAAGAAAGCCCAACAGAGCAATTGGGTAAGTGACTCTTGGTTCATAGCTTATGGTTCATAGCTTAACTATGGCTCATCGCTTAACTAAATTACATAGCCAATAAATGAAAGAGGGCTGAAGAAGGAAATTTAGGGACTTTATCTGTGATGTGTTAGTTCCAGGCATCATAAAATGTTAACATCTGGCAATGTTGGATGGCAGGGACAGGAATGCTTATCACATGCTCTCTTGGGTACTTTTCTTCATTAACAAAAAGTCTATTACCACAGAACCCTCAAACCTCTTCCTGTTATTGTCTACTTTGGCATTTATAAAATCCCAGCGGAAGTGGCAATCGCTGCACCCTTCACCTTGGAATTTTCCTCTTGCTGCTGCTAGAGCTGACCAGCCGATTCTGAGATTATGAGTTGTGATGTGAAAGGCCATTATCAGTTAGTTAGACAGAATGCAGGAAACTGCTAGTTCTTCATCAGAGCAAACTACATGGTGGTTCATACAACTGCTCTGCACTGGGTTCAGGAAAATGGGTTGAGAGGCTGTTCTTCAGTCTCTCACCCAGTGGTTCTCAACCTTCCTCATGCCGCGACCCTTTTAATACAGTTCCTCATGTTGTGGTGACCCCCAACCATAAAATTATTTTCGTTGCTACTTCATAACTGTAATTTTGCTACTGTTATGAATCGTAATGGAAATATCTGATATGCAGGATGTATTTTCATTGTTCACGACCCACAGGTTGAGAACCGCTGCCCATTCAAAGTGGATTGTGACCAACCCTTCCAGCGTGTTGTTCAGTAATTTTGTTACCTGAAGATAAGAGAGAGCCACAGATGGTCTCTTTTGGGGTGTGTGACACAAGCAGAGTATCCAGAAATGGTTAGTGTGACTACATTTCTGTGTCCTTGTCCAGAAGCGTTCATCACTGTAACTCGGTGACTTTCACACCCATTTATGCTCAAATGGCACATTCCATGGAATAATTTGATTCAGGGTCGCACAACTCAGAACATCAGAAGCAAAAAGTGTTTGCTGACAAATGCTCACAATATAATTGAATTTGCAAACTAAAAGGAAGCTGATCCGCGATTTAGTCCCGGACATAAGCATGCCTTACCCAGAGCTGCACACAGTTCCTACCTATCACTTTGCTTAAAGCTTCCTTTCCTTTCCTTTCTCCTCTCTTTCTGGAATCAGTAACATCCTCAAGGCCTTAAGGACGAGGAGATTTTCACGGTATGTTTGCCCACGTCCTCACAACTCTTATCATCTCCTGTCCTGGGTTTTTCCACTTGAGCATTGCATCCTGACTGCGCTCACATTCCAGCCATAGTCTCCCAGGGCACAAAGTAGGACGGGTTCCTAACTGCAGTGTGACAGGTTGCACAGTCCCCATCTCCACCAGCAGGAGCTGCTTGCAAACTGGGCGTTAGAAAGGAGGTGGCTGTCGCCCATCTCTGGGGAGTCCCCTCTTTGGTAGCTAGTCAGTGAGGGCACACGTGCTTCCTTCTTAATTCTATTTGTCTATTATTTGGGGAGGGAGAACCAGGTGCCACCCGCCACTGCGGTTGTCCTCAATGGAGACAGGACCGCCCTGCCTTGGGGGGGGGGGGGGGGGGGCATTTGGGTTGTGGCTGGTGGCCTGTCGGCAGTGCAGAGACAGGGCAGGGCAAGGGTGTTGGACATGCTGCAGTGTGTGGATAGCTCAGCCAATGAAAACTGGCCCACACCTGTAGTTATCTGAACCCAGAACCTAGCTCCACCTCACCTAGAACCACAAAGTTTTATTTAGTGGCGGTTAGTGCATGGAGGGTCCCAGGAGCACAGCGCTCCTCACCATGCTTTTTCTTTTGTGTTTCTATGCTTGGCTGACCCTGGAGGAGCAGCCCACCTAGGGCTGGGCAATTTTCTCTGAGGAATTCAGCGAGGGTGCAGCCCCAGAGCTGTCAATCAGGAGAGAGAGGCGTTTCACTTCAGCCTTCATGTCACTCAGCCCAGGGATGGAGAGGGCAGGCCCGGCTTATTCCCCTAACCTTGGGTAGGAGGCCGGCTCCGAAGTGCACAGCTTGTCTGCCCGCTCCACGTAGGTCCGTGCCCCTGCAGCCCCAGGGAATGAGCCAACGGTGTGGAGGGTTTCTGTGTGGCTGCCCCTTTCCCATGACTTTTACACATTTTTACATTCTCATCCTGCGGGCTGGAAGCCTGCCTGGGACTCATGGCTCCCGGGCCCACCGGTGGCCTCTTCCAGCAGAGAAGGCAGCAGACACTCATGCCCCCTGCATCCCAAGCCCACTTTTCCTAAGGACCAGAGCCTGGGAGTGGGGCCAGCCCCCCAGCAGTCGTCCTGGGACCAGCAGCAGGAAGCTTGCCCATCGGGGCCTCCAGACTGTAGACTAGGCCCCTCATCCTCATTCCCAGATGCTCGCTGTGGGAGCCAAATGTGAGGATGCTGCTTCTCCATCTCCTGGACCCCTGGCTGCAATAACGGTTTTCCTGCTGCTGGTGCCCCTCAGCCTGCCAACCAGGAAGACAGTGCGGGCCCAGCCGCTGCCTCCAAGACAGTCAGCATCACATCTTTGTCTCGGCTAGTGGGATCTGTCCGACCTGAGACCCGGGAGCCATTGATTGTGCTTTGCCTGCTTTTCATCCTTTGCTGGTGGAAGGCTGGACAGCTGCCTCCCAGAATCCTTGTAAAGATCAGCTCGCCCCTGAGTAACAATATGCAGAATGAATTCCTCTTCATTTCTCTGTGCCGTGTCTGCTTTTGTTGTGATCACCTGCCACCTGTCTGTGAGTGGTGTGCTAATTCTCACCTTCTGCAGAGGTGTGGTGGACAGTTGCTGACACTGACCCTGCCAGTCTCCCGCTGCAGGAGCACTTACCTGGGGGGTGGAGGGCATGACCAGAGTGTGTGATTGAGGACAGTGCACTTGTACTTTGTTATACCATCTGTTAGAAATCCATGGACTTTGCAGCCTGGAGATGTTTCACTGGCTGTTTTATTATGTTAACAAAAATGATAGGGAACCCAGCCAGAATTTCGCTGTAACTTTGCCCTGACCTTCTGCTCACTGGGCTCTGGGTGGCTTACGTGGTTTCTGGCGACCCCCTCCGCTCACACCTATGTTCTGAGTCTCAGTTTTCTGCTAAAGGGTTTCCAGGCCCAGGTCTGCTTTTTGGAACTCTCCCTCTCTGCCTTATCCTGCACCCTCATCCCTTGTCCTCCTCTTCACTCTGGCCCATGGTCCTGGATGGCCTGTCATGGGGCCCCCTTTAGACAACAGAGGTGGCCAGGTGGCTCTCACCTCTGGTTTCTGCCACCCCAGCACAGCCTCGGGCCGAAGGACCCGGTCTTTGACCGGTTGGTCACCTTCCTAGTCCCAAGGCACATCCATCCCTCTGTGGGGTTTGGTGACAAGGGGTTGACCTCAGCCTCAGGCTCCAGTGCAGTGATCTTCCCTAAATAGAGGCGTTGCTTCTGTTTCTAAGATTGATGCCGATTTCGGGCAGCCTATTTCTAGACCGTAGCCAGCCAGCTGAACCACAATTGCTGAGGCTGTTCTGTGTATGTTGTTATCCAATTTGTCAGTATTTTCACTAAACAGTGTGCCGTAATTCCCGACTCAGTCCTGCAGTTGCCTTCATTAGATATATATTCAATTTTAGAAAAGATGCCTACAAGGCAGTTGAAAGTTTATAATTTCAGCTGTTAAAAGCCTATATGTATAACAACATGTTCTTGTTTGTGAATTGGATATGTCGTTTGCTTAGTTTTCTGGTTAATTCATCTCTAGAAAAAGAGACTCAGTAGTGGGAAATAAATATAGAAATTACATGGCTTTCCTGCCGGCCTCCTGGGTGACAGTTTTTATAGGGAGTAGGATATCTGATTTTTTTGAGCATCTCTCCTGCTAATTGATTTTTTTTAAAAATTGATTTT